TGCAGGCTAATAAAGGACCCAAACAACCTACTTCTGACATTTTAAACTGAAAAAGCTTCCTGGATGGGAAGCAAAACGTCTTCAAAGTTGGAAACAAAGTCCAATGGATGGTTTTGTTTTACATTTTTGGAATAGCTATTTGTTCCAGGAGGCAGATTTGTGAATCTTATCTCCCTACGTTATTTAATCAAATTTAAAAGTATTTTCTTTCAAACCCTCTCAGATGCAAATATGTGAGCCTGTGGCGAAGTGGTTCAGTTTGTGTTTACAACTTGTCGCTTATTCTTTCTTCTGATTTGTAATGCTTAAATTTAAACATTAGTTTGCAACTTTGACTTTCACTTACTATCCCGGGTTTGTTTGTGTTAGCATTATGTTGCAGTTTCCATCTACTTATGTTTACGTTAAAGTTATTACTTTAGGATTATTGGATGAAAATGTTTATTTTGTTTCAAAATACATTCATGGTTTTTGTTTTCCTTTTTACTCACCATAACCACTGAGCTCTTGGAAGCTCAAGGAAATGTTTTGTCAGAGTGAAATGGAATAAAAGACAACAGAGAAACTGGAACCGGTGGCTGAAGCTGTTTGTTTTTGGTTCACCTTATTGATCCTCGACCAAATTACCTCACAGAGCCTGAAAAAAACTTCTGATGTAGTTTAAACTTTCACTGAAGGCGTTACAATGAATAGATCACAATAGACACAATCAGTAGGACTTGTGCTCCTCTCTGCTCTCCTTCATATTTTTGACAACCACCTGACCTGCAGAGATTGCTGGTAACGCCTCAGATTTCTAATTCTATGCACTTATTATCTTGTTTTAGTTATAACAATCGACATTTTTAAGATAAATAGTTTTGAATGTATCTGTTGTCCCGTTTTTTAAGTGAGTTGACAAACAAGGTTTGACTGATTGTTTAAACAATCTGGAGCTTTGCTTTTTGCTCCCATAAGGTATAACTTTAGCTTTTATCAAAGAAATACTTTAGTGGGTTAAGTGTTAATAATTATGGAGTTTGTAGAAAAGGCCTTATGCCTAATGGTGTGTCGTAGAGCAAGGTTCCTTAACCACTGTCCTACATGTTTTAGTTCTTTCCCCACCTCCTCACCTAAATCAAAAAGGCAATTACCGTAAAAAGCTTTTACAGCACTCAATGGCTGTTGAGAAGGTAAGGCAATTATTTGAATCAGGTCTTCAAATCTAAAACATGAAGGACAGTAGGCCCCAATGACCAATGTTGAGAAACCCTGTCGTAGAGGGTCTGTGAAGCTGTGAACCCTTTGCCGGAGAACCTGGCATCGTAAGATCTACGAGAAAAGTTTAAATAATAAAAAGAAATAGAAACCTTTGTCTTAAATCAGAAATGGACAGAGATGGCAAAAGTACTCACTTTCCGTACTTGAGTAAAAGTACAGATACTTGTGTTAAAAAATACTCTGGTAAAAGTGGAAGT